TAATATTCCAGGTCTACAAGAAGGTCACAACGTGTCTGAAATTTACTGGACACAACGGTCATATTAGTTTAGCGAATTAGTTAATTAGTTAATTAGTTAATTAGTTAATTAGTTAATTAGTTAATTAGTTAATTAGTTAATTAGTTAATTAGTTAATTAGTTAATTAGTTAATTAGTTAATTAGTAAATCAGTTATTAGTCATATGGTTATTATTAAGTACTATATATTATATGATATTACAAAAATAAACTATGAATATATATTCGCACACAAAAAAACCAGAACAAACTGATCACAGACTAGCGGCAATGGATTAGAGCAACCCAAACAGACACCAACGCGAGGAAGTTCAAACGAGTTCAGGCATTGGCATTGAGAATGATGTCTGGTGCCATGCCTAGTACTCCCTTCATCGCACTGAACCACCTCACTAACACTCCAGATATCATACTTTTCCTGAGAGGTGAAGCAGCAAAGGGCACAGCCAGGCTTCAAGCTTATGGAAGCCTAACCCTCGAAACTATCGCCCCCAGAAAAGGTACCATCACAACTCACACCACTATCAACAAACAATTCATGGTAGATCTCAACATACCACCCAAAGCAGAGAGAGACCTATCTATACCAACCATGATGCTTGAACGACGCTTCACGGTCACCACTCCTGGAGCTGACAACATTGGATATAGAGGCTCACTCCAAAACACCATCGACAACATCCCCAGTGAAACCATCACCTGCTACACAGACGGGTCACGCACAGACTCAGGTAGCGGGGCTGGTTATATTATCACCACAGACAACAACAACACTACACTAGATGAAAGATCATTCAAGCTTCCCGATTATTGCACTGTTTATCAAACAGAACTCACTGCCATCATCGAGGCTTGTAAATATCTATCAACTTATACAAACACACACATCATCATATGGTCAGACAGTCTCTCCTCTATTCAAGCCATATCCTCATCTTCAACGAGGAGTAGGACTACTAGAGACTGTTACGACACCCTCAATACACTCGGATCCACTAACACCTTAGAGATCAGATGGATAGCTGCACACATTGGATTGTGGGGTAATGAAAAAGCAGACGAGCTGGCCAAAAATGGTACAACCAGTGAATCCACTTTGAATTGCCCAATTCCACAATCTTACATCAAACGCCTGATCAACGACAAAGTCACAAAACTTAATCAAGAATCATGGATTACTGATGGTCCCAGACACACTAAACTGACACTTGGACATAAAAACATCAACATCATCAAAAATCTCAACACTACACTCAGTAACAACAGACAAAATTATAGAACTGCAGTGCACCTCATCACGGGACATTGTGGCCTAAACAAACACCTACACACCATTCGCAAATCAGACACAAGTGCTTGTCCTAAATGCGGCGACGAAGAGGAGACTGTCTCACACTTTCTCGGACAGTGCCCGGCTATTGCCCAAATAAGAGGTCAATATTTCCGGGACTACTACCTCTCTGTCAATGACATATTCGACAACCAACACATCTCCACCATTGTCAACTTTACAAACCACACTAAACGCTTAGTGGTGCCAGAGGAGTTGGACCAGACAGGTGTAACATAGCGACTACTTTAACGCCGTCTTATTTCGCCTCTCTCTTCCACACTCAACCACCACTTAAGCGTTTATCTATGACACACCCCACAACACTTACCATCATCCTTGATTACACATCTTGATTCCACTGGCATCCTCCCACAGGACTGCCATACCCCAGAGGTAGGCAAAGCATTCATATGCTATCCTCTCGTGGGCCAACCAGGCCCAGCCTCTCTAAAAAAAAATAAAAAAAAAAAGACTAGCGGCAACTAATATTAATGGATACGGTAAGCCACACATCCTAAATTCCAGGTCCATATTTACACTGCCACATTCCCCACTATCACTATTTTCCTATTAGCACAAACCGTAATTAATTGATTTTAACAATCACAACACTACATATATCCAAACTAATGGCATGGCATAGCAATATCTACGATATCCTAAATCAGTCCCTAACAAACTTAGCGCGAGTCTGAAAGGCTGTTGGAAGCACAGAGTGCTCCATATTTTGTTTTATCAATTTAAACCTTTCTTTTTTTATAAATTTATTAACTGCGTGCAAATTTATGTTTCAGATTTGATCTATTTATGATATATATTTATGATTATGTAATAAAGTTATTGATATTATATTCGTAACCATTGGCTGGCTTACAAACCAGTCCCCAAACAAACAAACAGAACATGGGAGAGCACGTTTCCTTGATTTTTGTAGTGGATTTGTAGTGCTTTTCACCCCTGTAGTGCTTTTATGTTCCGGGGTAGGTGGGACATTTTTTAGTTTACAAATGGGTACTACCTGTCCCAAACCATCATAAAAATCAAGTTTCGACCTCTCAACCCACTCAGGCCACTCCCAGGGTCATGCCTAACCAGGAAAAGCTACAGGGGGTGGGGTGGGGCAAAACTAACGTTACGTACGTTGGGTCTTATACCACCACCGTGTTTCATATTATGGACCTGTAACTTTGCAGATGGCATGCTGTAACTACTCATTCGAGGATTCCGTCTCCAATGTTTAAGAATTCGAATATTTAGAATACTCCCATATAATATCAAACCACCTATATTGTTCTTTCCGGACATGCTAGACGCCCATTTATTTCAGATTACTGCAGATTATTAATTGTTGTATCTGATCTGAAAAATTGAGGCCAAATGGATTTGAAATTACGAAGTTATCAAGCATTTGATGTATCTCGTTAACAAAATTGATTGGGTGATTATGTGTCCCTTGCAATTTAACGAGGCCATCTAATCACCTGAACAGGTAATCGAATCACCTGAACAGGTAATCGAATCACCTGATCACACGTAATAAATAAACTCGTCATGCCTCGTATCTCGGTCATCTGAGAAGCTACAACTCTCATTTTTTCAGATCAAACGTAATTTGAATGGCCAAATACGATCCGATAAAATTTGGCTCGATCTGATTATCAAAACTATCATTTAATAAATACGATAAAGAACCTTCATTCGAAAAAAATGAACATGAATATTCTTTGATTTAACATATTCCTTGTATTGAATGAGTGGTGATAGTTAGTCATACCAAAAAGAATACCCCGGAACATAAATCCCCTAGAGGGGTAAAGATTTTCGGTCTTGATTTTACCTGGATTTCAGTAATTTTGAGATCATGGGCGTGGCCCCTGGGAGTGGCCTGAGTGGGTTGAGAGGTCGAAACTTGATTTTTCTGATGGTTTGGGTCAGGTACTACCCATTTTTACACTAAAACATGTTCCAAATACTCCGGAACATAAATCCCCTACACATAACAGGGGTTAAGATTTTCAATCTTGATTTTACCTGGATTTCAGCTGTTTTGGGATGGGCGGCCTGAGTGGGGTTGGATGTGTTATTTAGTTATTGGTTATATTTATATCTTATTGTCTATAAATACGAGCAGTTTGGTGAGACTTCTGACGGCTACCGTCTTAGATTCTACAATGATAAATAATGTGACATACGTGCGGCGCGCAAAATCCCCTACAAAATCCACTACACATTTCAGGGAAACGTCGAGGAGGTGTTCTAGCAAATGTGTGGGCGAAATTGCGATTATGTCGCTTTATGTCGCACGAGGTTTATTTCTCAGAATTGTTGGTATGTCGCTATTATTCGGATCCATAAATAACGAAAAGTTACTTGCGTGCGCGTATTTTTATATAGTTTTATAGAGTTACATATTGTAAATTTGCTGAGCCTCACGTAGGACTGCGGCTAAGGCCGCTAAAGTTAACTAGCTCATCCCGGTTTGAGCCTCGTCAGAGGTCATTTTTTTGGCATTTATTGATTACTTTACTACAATTATCAGCAGAGCACCTTAGTAATACACTTTATCAGATAAATTATAGTGTTCGGACTTCAGCTAGAGAAGACTTGCCTTCAAGGTTTTGTCCGGAGAAGGCTTCGTTCACACTGGAACATGTCAAATGGTAAACGGAGTTATCTGCTAGGATTAATAAGTCAGTTCTACAGTTGAAGAGATTTTTTTCCAACTTTAAATGAAGAAATCGGCTCGGAACTTCATTCCTAGATAGACGGTGTACCATGGAACCAGTTAAAGCATCGGATCAATTCAAAACATTCACATCCCACATTCTTAAATCTACATCCTTCACCAAAACCAGTTTGACCACTTAACTGTTCATTACTAATTGCAATATGAGAGGCGAAAGCTTGTAGCCAGGAACAGTACCTAGAGATTTCGACCGTAACCGGACCATTTTTACCATTACCGGACCATATCATCTTCATCTTGTGGCATGGTTCCCAAGCCTGATAGTAATACATATGCACTATGGCAGTATCTAGTATATCCCGATTCCTGAGCGGTGGAGATCTATCATTGTATTGGTGAAACTTCTCTCAATAAAGCACTGTTCGTTACCTGTTTATTAAAGGTATTTCCAATCAATATCATGTGTGATAATTCCAGCCTATATCTATTTTTTAGGAACCATAAACAATAGTCAATATACATACAATACAAGGCCTTCTCCGGGTAGTCTTCTCCTGACAGTATTATTTATCTATGTAAACTCGCGCACGCACCTACCTTTTTGCAATATTTAGGTTCAAATTTGTGCGCATAACCATAGTTTTGAAAAGCGACATACCCACATTTTGAGAAGAAAACATCTACTGGAAACGTCTTCTGAACATGGTCGATGGAAGACGCATAATTGTAGAATTCGTGTACTTGGCGCTGCAAACTGAATTTGCGCGCGTAACACGCGCGTTTATTAATAGTCTGTGATTTGCCGGCCAGTTCAAACGGTAAGTTTTGCTGAAAATCACGAACTTTAATTTATACTGTAGTGGTCAACTAACCCACACTCCGCTGTAGAAATGAACTCACGATTTAGGGAATAAGATTTTTACATACGACTGTTTGTGACAGGTGGACGTCAAAAGCCGGCGTGAGGTAAACAACGAGGAGTTGGTGGACCTCAGAATAGAAATGGAGCAGCTCAGACAGGCTAACAAACTCGACACTTACGGGTTTGCAAACAACTCAATTTATTAGTTTACTCTAATGTGTTGTTTTTTAAATGGATATCAGCGTTTTCAACTTCTTAAATTTAATAGGTTTAAATACAGATTGTTCTAAATCATGAAATACTGAGAATAATTATCTTCAGATTGTGGTTACTTGGGGTGATTCTCAGTAAGTCTGCTTTGGTAGATCGAGCTATTCTTACCCTTGTGGAGTCCCTTAACGCTGATCCTAGTTTCTGGGGCTCCTGGAAAACATTGGCTAAGCTCATCAAAAACAAGAACCAACTTCAGGTTATTCTAGTTATTATCTTTCAGTAAAAAATACCTTTTAATTGATCAGTTTCATAGTCGAAGTGATCTGAATGATTATCACGATTAGCGAGATTCGTACAGCGAAATAAATCGTACTCCGTCGAGAATTATTGCGATTATGATCGTTTGTAATATTCATATCGGCCCACCCAGACGTTACCATCACTACCGCACCACTGGATGAAGAACTTCTTTTACGTCGAAGTTTGTCAGGAAATGTACTACGCAAACGATGCTCTTTCTTTTATACAGGTTTTTGTCGTCAAGTATTTGTTGTTATTCTTAGTGTGATCCAGTGCTGAATCACACTGAGATATGAATCACACTGAGATATGGATTACACTGAGATATGAATCACACTGAGATATGAATCACAATGGGATATGAATCACACTGGGATGTGTGTCACACTGGGATGTGTGTCACACTGGGATGTGTGTCACACTGGGATGTGTGTCACACTGGGATGTGTGTCACACTGGGATGTGCGTCACACTGGGATGTGCGTCACACTGGGATATGCGTCACACTGGGATATGTGTCACACTTGGATGTGTGTCACACTGGGATGTGTGTCACACTGGGATGTGTGTCACACTGGGATGTGTGTCACACTGGGATGTGTGTCACACTGGGATGTGTGTCACACTGGGATATGTGTCACACTTGGATGTGTGTCACACTGGGATGTGTGTCACACTGGGATGTGTGTCACACTGGGATGTGTGTCACACTGGGATGTGTGTCACACTGGGATGTGTGTCACACTGGGATGTGTGTCACACTGGGATGTGTGTCACACTGGGATGTGTGTCACACTGGGATGTGTGTCACACTGGGATGTGTGTCACACTGGGATGTGTGCCACGCTCACCAGACAGCACTAGCCTCACCTTATAATCTCCATTTACTTCCAGGCACTAGAAGATATGGGTCTGACAAACAACCCTTACCTATTGGCTAAGAGGGCTGAAGTTCACTACGCTTTGAGAGAGTACGATATAGGTATGTACATTGTACAAATTCAACAATGTTTCTTGGATAAATATCGTGTTATAATCAAGTTGAAAAGTTTTCCCAATCAATAGTTATTGGATTAAATGTAAAAATTGGTTAACTTGAATGATATTTTTCTTTTGTCTAAAAGCAAATGAAGGTTTAAAAATATCATGTTTTCAATCAAGCTGTTGAACTCTCATTGCGAAAAACAGATTCTAAAATGTTCAGTCTTAAATGCCAATCATGAAACATCATGAATTTCATCACAACATCACAGGCGGTCATGCTGATGATTAATCTTCGTCACATTTGTCACTATTTCCATGCTCGTACTTGAAGTGTTTTATGAAGCCCTCAGATATCTTGGATCCCACGAAATGCTCTGCAGATTGATTATTTTTAAATAGAACAAAGATGGTTACTAGTTAGTATATATAGTTACTTACTTATTTAGCATTCTATACTAAACTTGGAAATAGTTGATCTACTATAAGTTTAGTGGTCTTGATTTCTATGAGATTTCTGCAGGATTGCAATAAGACGTCACGTGACATACGAGCTGCAACTTAACTTACCTGCCTCCCCCTCCCAAATAGTACAAACCTAGCTGATCCCAGGTGCTGGTTAGGGTGTTAAGAAGTTGGCTGGTGAGAATCTTGTTGTAGAACTCCTTGCTGTACAAGACGTCCCAAACTGCCGCCCTCCCCTCAGCCTCACACCCCACATCTACCAAAGTAACGTTCCCATACCTCTCCTCTTGTAACAGGTCCTCCCATCTGTGGAGTGTAACGGTTAGAACTGTGATAGACTGTGATAATATATATATATATAATATAGACTGCACCCCCAGCTAGCCGCTCACCTGATATATCTCTTTAGACCGAACTGATCCTCATAATCAGAACACAGACCGTTCCCCTTCATCATCTTAACTTCAGACTCCTCCAAGGCCTTGGTGGACACGTTTAATTTGAACATCTCTCCACCAAAGTTGTATTCAGGTGAAGTAACCTGACCGTTTGTCCTGACTATATTTCCCAGTGCGATGTTTCCGCTGAGACCAAGCTTCCTACCAGTGGGGGTATTGTCTGTTCCGATAAGTTTACCCTCGTAGAACACTTGAAACTGACTGGAAGATGAGCTCCAGGTCACACAGTGGTGTCTCCACTCGTTATCAGGACTGATAACACTGCTCATGAAGTCTGAGCGCTGGTTGAAAATCCAATAGACCCCATCATCTCTTATCATGATTTCATAATTTATGCTGGGTGAGGCGTATGTAAACCAGTACGGGATTGGATCTGAGTGGGGGATCCTCTTGATCCAGCTACAAACTGAGAATTCCTCCTGTAGTGGATGCATGTCTAGTTTAATCAGGATATGATCTCCAACTTGAGTACCAAACTTTAGTCCGAAATGCTTCCTCTCGTCTGTAAACACCAACCCTGTCAGAAGTCCAAGAAGAGCGAGCTGCGAAAAAAGCAACAACATTTCTGGAAATATTGTCAGAGAATCATTACAATGAATATTTATTCGGGATTCGGAGGTTTAAATATAATGAGTTACCCCACAAAGCCACATCTTGGTTATCGTAATTATACTGATTTAATTATACCCCAATATTCACTAATCGCTGGTTCAGTGGTTTGAAGGTAATTTTCAATGATTCAATTAATTACTTAATAATACAACCCTTTAGGCTCATGGTAGTGATGGTAGTCGGGTGCCGCGCACGAGCGATAACACTTATCGCTCTTATTGTGCATCAGTTATTATTTGCACCAGACAACTTTTGGTTTTGTGATTGGAGAGGGTGTGCCGATATTTTAACACAACACGTTTATTGTGTGAAAATACTTTTTCATGAAATTTACTGAAAATGCGGGAGTTTTCTGCCCGTCCAAGGTTCAAACTCAGAATCAGTAAACAACTCTAACTTTTGCATATCGTTCTAAGATCGAGCTTTCTCTACCCCCATTTCAATTTTATTTAGTAATTTTCATTGACTTAATTTCAGCTAAAGACACGTGTAAAGAACTGCTAGAGAAGGATCCAAACAGGCTTGATATAGTGGACATGTACTCCAACATACTCTACGTGAAGGAAGACAAGGCAGCACTCAACTATCTAGCTCACCATACAGTTGAGGTAAGTGGTAAAGAGATATACGATTATCTATAATAAATAAATTCACCCTAAAATGACCGGATTTAACGATAATAATAATATGATATAATGATTATAATTATAACGATATATAATATGACAATATAACCCTAACCTGACCCTAAAATAATCCTAAACTGACCAGGTTGACAAGTACCGCCCAGAGACGTGCTGTGTAGTTGGTAACTTCTACTCTATCTACGGGAACCACGACAAAGCCATCACCTACTTCCAGGTACTGATCAATAATATGCCCAATAGTACAGAAATTAATCACGGGATTATTGTTTCTTATCCAAACAATATCGTACCCACCCTTATAATTAATTATGCTAATATCTTTTAATTAATTATGCTAATATCTTTTAATTAATTACGCTAATATCTTAGCCGGTCCTACACAAAGTGCTTACAAGAGAGGTAGAAGTTGTGGCGATATAATTTGGTCTCAACGTATGCTAACCTCAGTGGTACTTAGAAAGCATTGGAGCTACCACAGAATGAGTATAGACATGTCAAGTGCCTTTGACACCATCAGCAGAGAAACAGTACTCAATGTTCTTGAAGATGCTGGCTGTACTAGTGATGAAATTAGGATGGTACGGCTCCTACTATCAAACACAGTGTTGAAAGTAAAAGTCAATAATACTGTATCAATTGAGTTCCAAAGCACAACTGGAGCATTTCAAGGAGATGCACTATCAGGTAATCTATTTACTGTTGTTGAAGCCGCTGCACTTATTCACCTCAGATCTGTACTCTCCCAAGTATCATCAACACCTTACCCAGTGAATCATCCAATCCCTTATCCTCCTATCTCAGAAGAATTCATGCCACTCGAAACAGGATACTCTGATGATATTGACTTTAATAACACTGAACTTGCTCCACTCAAATAAATGCTTCCTATCGCTAAAGATATATTCCAGCAGTGGGACCTTCATATCAATTCTTCCAAGACTGAATTTGTCCATTTTTATTTAGCAGATCCTAAACCCACTGTTAAACGCAAGGTGATTGTTGCAAAAGTGTATAGAGGTGATGAAGAGTGGCGCTCTAACAAAACTTTAGGATCGTTGATGTGCACTGTTACGGATATCAAGAATCGAATATTCCTTGGTAATGTTGCCTTTAGTAAATTTCAGAAAGTTTGGATGAAGAGCAAGATTTCAGTCCAAAGGAAGATCAAAATCTACGAGGCACAAGTAGTCTCTATTCTACTCTACAACTGCAACTCCTGGGCTGCACCACTAGCTTCGTTGAATGAACTTGATATTGCTCATCGCAAACACCTCCGAAGAATCCTCAACATCAGATGGCCTACTGGGGTTATTTCTAATGAGGCACTCTATGCTCGTTGTTATGTCACTCCCTTGTCTGTGAGAGTCTCTAAGTTTCGATGGAGAATGTTAGGACATATCTTAAGAGGACAGGAAGACTCACCAGCATACACCTCTATGTTATTTGCTATAAATTCTGATATTTTTATGGAAGGGAGACGGTAGACCATGTTTAAACTTATTAGATGTTATTAGAAAAGACTTGACTAGTAGAAATCTTGAAATTAGACTTAAGTATTTGACTGATTTCGAAGACCTTAGATTTTTAGCTTTAGATAGGGAGGAGTGGAAGCAGTTAGAAGATGGTTGATGTTTTTTGTTTTCTTTTTTATGCGTTTTGATATCTATAAGGTGCCTAGGATGCTCTTTTAAAGAGATATTTCGTACTTTGAAAGATTTACTACTAATATCTTTTAATTAATTATGCTAATATCTTTTAATTGATTATGCTAATATCTTTTAATTAATTATGCTAATACCCGTTACAGAGAGCGTTACGACTAGACCCCGACTACTTGTCTGCCTGGACCCTAATGGGGCACGAGTACGTGGAACTAAAGAACTACAACATGGCAATAGAGTGCTACAGGAACGCTATAGATGTTAGTAGGAGTTCATCTTACTGTTTTGTGTTATAATACTGTCATAACCCACGTGATTCCCAAGGTAACAGTTCTAACTTGCAGGTTAACCCACGTGAATACCAAGGTAACAGTTCTAACTTGCAGGTTAACCCACGTGATTACCAAGGTAACAGTTCAAAATTGCAGGTTAACCCACGTGATTACCAAGGTAACAGTTCTAACTTGCAGGTTAACCCACGTGATTACCAAGGTAACAGTTCTAACTTGCAGGTTAACCCACGTGATTACCGAGCCTGGTACGGAATTGGTCAGACATATGAGTTATTGAAAATGCACGCTTACTGTCTGTATTACTATATGGAGGCCCAGAGATTAAGACCCACTGATTCCAGGATGATAGTTGCTCTCGGTAGGTTGCTTTTCATTTCTTTAATTATAGATTATATGTTATATATATGTTAACAGATCAACATCACATAAAAACTTTCAATACTTGGGGGCAAAATGTTGGAATAATGTTCCAACAGATCTACGAAATCTGTCCGATGTTAAAAGCTTTAGTGATTCGTATAAGAAACAGCTACTCTCATCTATAACAACAGACCTAGGAACCGACCGGAAATCCGGCTGAATCCGGTTCCGGCCGGATATCCGGCTTCAAAATCCGGTTCCGGTTCCGGCTCCGGCTGGAAAAAAATTTGCCGGATTTTTGCCGGATTTCAGTTTTTTTTACCGAAAAAAATCAAAAAAATATTTTCGGCTAATAATGAACAGGGTAGCCTGAATCGTGGAAAAAAAGTGGTTTTCAGAAAAACTTTTAAAAAATTTTGACTTAGAAGTTTTTCGAGACGTACCTCCTGTATCGAGAGCTCCCGCTTCCGAGCTCGTGTTGCAAAGGGGAGGCCTGCCTTCCAAGATCACATTACCAGGGGAAACCTCGAGTCCAGAATTGTGTATCGATGGGTAGGTGGGGACTTCGAAAACCGAAAAAATATTTTCGGCTAATAATGAACAGGGTAGCCTGAATCGTGGAAAAAAGTGGTTTTCAGAAAAACTTTGAAAAATTTTGACTTAGAAGTTTTTCGGTCCGAGTCGTTCTCGAGACGTACTTCCTGTATCGAGAGCTCCCGCTTCCGAGCTCGTATTGCAAAGGGGAGGTCTGCCTTTCGAGATCGCATTACCAGGGGAAACCTCGAGTCCAGAAGTGTGTATCGAGGGGTAGGTGCGGACTTCGAAAAACCGAAAAAATATTTTCGGCTGATAATGAACAGCCTGAATCGTGGAAAAAAGTGGTTTTCAGAAAAACTTCGAATGTCGAAAAATTTTAACTTAAAAGTTTTCGGTCCGAGTCGTTCTCGAGACGTACAGGGAATCGCATTACCGGGGGAAACCTTGAGTCCAGAATACAGAATAGTGTATCGAGGGGTAGGTGCGGAATTAGAAAAAACCGGAAAATATTTTGGGCCACCTCCCTGGGCTAGCCCCCGGCTATAATCGCAAAATTGGCAGTATTTAATCTTCTGATTATGAAATACGAAATATGAAGGTCACGTGTTCAGGGTCTGGGTAGCTACTTAATTAGCTCATTACTGCAATCATGTGACTCAGCTCTAGACGCCAGACGGTGATTAGTACTGTACTAGACAGTGCCTGCTTACGAACAACCTTATTAAGCACCTCTGGTTGTAAGTCACGTGACCCAATGATACTCAGACTTGCATGAAAAAAAGGGAATTCGCACAAACGCGCTCAATCAGGGGATCCAAATCCGGCTGAATCCGGTCCGGCAGCCAAAACCCCAATCCGGTCGGTTCCTAAACAGACCCTTATTATACCGTCGACAATTCATATGACAAATTTTACACTGCAATCATAGTCGACGATAACTAAGTATCTTCTATTTCTTTTAAATCTGAGGCATATATAATTGAAGTGTCGAAAGGATATTCCCTTTTTTACCACCTTACCATTCTGATTGATTCTGCACATGACTGACATGTTTTAACTGGAGAAGGGGTTCGCACAGTGGTAGTTTTATAAACCACTTTTAATTTATTGACCTATTATACCTAGTGGTAGTTTTACAGACCACATTTAATTTATTAACTTATTATACTTAGTATTTATTTTTGGTGACTGTATCACCCAGTACAGTTGTAACATTTGATAATTGTACAGTTTATTGACGACACATTGACCGAATGTTATTTTATATTCTAATTTATATACTAGATATTTTATTTATTTTCCAACAGACGACAACTTCCTGTTTTTTTTCTTCTATATTAGTTACTCATATCTCTTGTACAGACTGTTCTACAAGGACATTGACAGATGATACTCATATTAGGCATTCATTATTGCATCTAAATTATTTCACTTGCATTAGGTTTAGAAATTTATTCTCTGGTTAACAGATTTCAAATGTTTAATTAATTTGTAGTATGACAGTATATAAGAAGTTATTTAATTTTGCTTGGGCTGTTGTGTTGACTGTTGGGGTTTAGTGGTGGTATGGAATTTGAATTTTATATAAATTTACACTATGAGGTTGGGGCATTTTGCATAGTAAATATGGTTACTACTCCTATATATCATATTATTTGATTGGTATTCGATTTCTGATTATTTCCCTAGGAATATGATTATTATATCTCAATTTGGCTTTAGGTAGGGTGCCCCGCTAAAAGAACTGGATTCTTCCAGGAAGCATCCCGTGCACAGAGCTTGGTCTACATATATATTAAATTATTAACCATTCATTCTGTATGTGCACGAAAATTTATTTCAATCAAAAAAGATTTACCGCGGGGTTTGGGGAAAAGGGACTGTATTTGATATTAGCTATAATATTCTATCCCCCTCCTTATTCCCTTGTTTATCTACTAAACCCCCGGTATTTAAACCCCCGGGATCTAAACCCCCGGTATCTAAACCCCCGGTATCCCAGGGGAGAGTTATGAGAAGCTAGAGCAGCCTGCTAAAGCTAAGAAATGTTACATGAGAGCTCTTAATGTTGGGGACCAGGAGGATATTGCTATGATACGACTAGCTAAAGTCTGTGAGAAACTGCACGATGAGGAGGGTATGTGGTTAATTAGACAATTAGGCAATTAGTAGTAATTGATTAATTAGATTATTTAACACCGGTTAGTATTTTGGGCGAGGAGCTTGTTTAACACTACCATAGTTGGGCATACTAACACTACCATATATGGGCATACTTACACTACCATATATGGGCATACTTACACTATCATATATGGTCAGGTGCGGTGAGGTGGTACAGTAAGTATGTGGACATGGTAAACTCGGCTGAGTTGGATCCTGGAGATGATATCTGCTTTGCATACCGCTACCTGGCTCACTATTACCTCAGAAATGATAGGTACGTTTATCATCACCAGCAGTCTGAAGTAAACGTCTTCTTCTACCTGTTCTAAACACATCAACATTAAACTTTAAGATTAAAGGTTTTATTATTCTAGCAAAAGTTCATCATCTGAATAATGCTGGTGAGAAACAAGCGCAAAAAGCCCTCAAATTCCACAAAGTTAAGATAATTCACATGTTTATAATACTGTCAGGTTACCAGAGGCAGATGTTCACGCTCACAAGTGTTGTGAGTTCAAAGAAACTAAGAATGACGGTAAAGCGCTAGTGAGGCAGATAGCAGCTCATCGTAACAGCGGTAGTGGGGTTTACAACCCACGATTCACTCCTAAACCTAACCTCAGGTAAGCGAAACTGAAAGTGAAACTGAAAGTGAAAGATGAGTTAATAATTTGAATATAGATTGAAATTGACTGTAACTGTGATGGTGACTGTTATTGATAGTGACGTTGTGAGCGATGTTGGTTACACTACCTATAAATTATTAATTACCTGTCAGTACTGTATAGTAGAGATATCACATTTTAATCTTCTCCCTTCAGAGTGAAGTTAGCACTGTCAGGCTCAGCTAGTACAACTCCGGGATCCCAGAAAAGAAGCAGAACCCCACCACCCCAAGATCACAGTGATAACGACATGTCCTTCTGAACACGTGCAGATGAAATCCTGAGCCGCGCACATAAAATCGCACGTGTTCGACCAAGTCATTTTCCTCCATCTGAACTCTCGAGACCCTTCTATTTACCTTTACATCAGAATATGAGTTGAACAGTGTTGCAATAATCTTACAATTACACTCCATCATCATAGTCGAGTTACGAGTAGATAAAAGATACAAGATATAGTGGACTTTTAATTATGTAATTTCTGGATCATGTTGACAGACATCATTAACGTCGACAGAGGTGAAAGTTGAAAGTCATTTCTCTAAAGTTAAGAAAAGTGAAACTTATTTAAATAAGTAGAGAGAAGTGAAGCTTACTTAATGTGAACGGTCCCCTATTTATTGTTTGTATTTTTGTATTTGTTTTTTGGAACTCGTTTTCCTTTTGGTTTTATTGATAACATTGATATTATGTTTGTCATTCCATTTTATCTATTAAGTCAGACAATGTAACTTTTTGATTTGTGGTAAAACTGGCACTGTACTGGTAGAACAGATACTTTGGATATATGCAAGGTTCGATCGGGATCCTGGCTTAATCCCGGTCCCGGCTAAAATACCGAATTTTTACCGGGACCGAACCGGGATTTTTTTCTAAGTTTTATAAAAATTGTTAAATTACCGAAAATTTTTTGCACAAATGAACGGTTTTTCTGAAAAACTGAAGTTTGAAGCAAAATTCTTTACAAATTAATCAACAAAACACTGTCCGTCAGAGTTGATGGCTGGTTTGTTGGGTATGCTGTGCTTGTAATCAGTTATTATGTATTATAGCGGATACCAATTATTATAGCGGATACCAGGTTTTATAGTGTCAGATTTTCAGTTAGGTGCTGGTTTGTTGTGGTGAGCTGTGCTTGTAGTTGTAATCAGTAAAGGATATCAATGTTTGATGTTGTATGATAGTAGTGTGATAGTTAGTAAATTAACGCATCCTACCCTACGCCATGTCCTCATTATCTGATTCGTCAGTAAATCTAACTGCCACGCGCTACAACAAAACCGCGTATACTGCTCTGTACTTCATTGTTCAATGTTCATGCTTGAGTGGTACCGATGTTCACAAAGGCGTGCGCTCAATCACAATTACAAATCATGAGCGGGCGCTTTTTGGAATCTCTCCGTTATTGGCATCGCAGTGTTCACGGCCTGAACTTTGTAGGTTTATAATTATAACCTACCAGGAAGCGCGCCGAGCTGGACTCGTCAACGGTCGCGGTCCGCCGGTCCCTAATATCTGCAATCTGGAACAAATATTTTACGAGTATCACCCGTTAACTTGTATTGCGTGAACGACAGAAATTTTCGTGAAAATTATCCCGCTTCTAAAATTTTGGTTCTGGTAATTAATAAATGTGACATGTAATTGTAAAATAACAATTGAATAGACCCTGCGTTGCTCTATCGCCAAAGCCCTTTCGCCGCGCGGCGCTTCTTGACATACGTTGCATGCCACTTTTCGCGCGTAACATGTATTAAGGCGCTTCCAATAGCGCGATCGCGATTCCACTTGTTGCTTGTGAAACAAGCTTAACGGGTGATACTCGTAAAATATCTGTTCCATATATGGACCGTCGCGTCGACGAGTCCAACTCGGCGCGCGTCCTGGTAGGTTGTAAACCTACAACTATACTTTCGTCGTCTTTGTTCAGATTGTTCGGGGCAAGGTATAAAATAACCAATAACCATCAAATTGGAACTTGTGCTGATATATTTCGTAGTTTATGGCTCTTCACTCTTCAGTTGTATTTGATAAAAGCGATTTGTAAATCTTTATTCCACTGGGAAGTTTACCTGGGGACCCCAGGCTATTATGTTCATAAAGATTCGGCGGAATGACAGGCTGAGCGCCGCCCAGTAACTGGGAAGTATGAATAGGGTTATCTTTTGGGGATGCTTTTTGAATTTATTCGAAAATTTTTAAATAAAGTTGTAGTTAATTATTTATTAATTTTGGTGGTAAGATATTAATATTTTTCCATAAAGTGATTTGATACATTGTAAACATGTGTGATGATGTTATGTCATTTAATTTTCACTTTACTTTACTATGGAAGCGCATGTGTGTCAAAAAAAAATAATGATACACATGCGCTTCCTAGGTAGCGTATGTGTGTCAAAATTTTTTTTGATACACATGCGCTAGCCGGTTTATCATGTATATCTCTAGGTGGCCCATGTGTGTCATTTTTGTAAAATTGCTGTAAAATCTCTATTTAATATTCTAATCGCTATCTTTATCTATTTATATATGTATTTTATCCTTATCTCTATTTTATCTTTAAACTCCTCTCCGCTCGCCTCCCGTGTGAAACGAACGCGCCTGAACGCTGCATGCAGTGGCGCGAAAGCACATGGTTAGGTTAAAGCGCGTGTACTGTTGCTGCACAGGCTATAATGTTACTTGACGATGTCAATTCATCGCAGCTCGGCGAGGCACAGTAGCGCATTTCACCGATTTAGCGTTGCAAGAAGCATAATCAATAATTGAATGCGCGGCGCGGCACAGTAACGCATCGTGCTACAAGCTAGTATAATATTTATAAACATACTCATTGGAGAATAGAGTTATGGAGGAATGAAGCAGCCTGCTGCGCGTGCGGTAGAATGACAGGCTGAGCGCCGCCAAGCATTGCATATTGAAGCGTGTACGCCGACGCATGACAGGCGAGCTCCTGTGTCCTGGGATAGTGCGCGAAGATCGAAATGCAATTCATGCATATCAAGCCAACTAAACTGCCAAGTGCCAACAATGTGTTTATTGTTATAAATGATAATTGACAAACCCGTTTCGGGATACTTCGTAGCAACTAGCAAGCTTGCCGCGCATCGATCCAATAATGCTTCTCGTCGTAAGTGGTAAGGCCACCTTGTTTGTCGTTAGATTTAGGCAAAATGCACCCGGCACCCCTGCGGACCTCGCTGAGCTGCTATGCAAAGTGAAAAAGCAACAACTCAATGGATGGTTAGTGGTTACCCGTACCGTAATGGGTGCTACATGCCTAGCATGAAATATTTACTTACTTACTTGTGCACTTAATTTGTGTATTATATGTTCATAATCATATAAATTCGGCGGAATGACAGGCTTGAGGCTGAGCGCGTCCCAGTAAACTTCGAATCGAAAAATTTAAACGAGTAACATCCGTCAACTAATAGTTATATGTAATAATTAAAAACAAACTTTGCTTGTTTACCTGAAATTAGAATTTTATACAATTAATGTAAGATTAAAGTCGTGTTTTTACCAATTTAAAGTCGTGTTTTTACCAATTTTCCCTGCACCATCCGGTAAATGTATTACCCTCAGCCCTTCGTTGTGGGCTGCGCGGTCGTATCGTGGCTTTCGCCACGGTATAGCGGGGGCGAAATGAAATACAAATGAGGATCGCGACGCGTGACTTGTAGGTTTATAACCTACCAGGACGCGCGCCGAGTTGGACTCGTCGATTGTCCTGATTAATATTTGAAGCAAATATTTTACGACTACAAGTATCACCCGTTAAAGAAAGGATTGAAAATTGAACTCGCCGGTACGTCGACGGATGATGCTTGTCTAAATTTGTTCGAAGTAACACGAAAAACTTTCTTTTCGAAGCGAAATGTCTGTGTTACTGGGCGGCGCTCAGCCTGTGCCTTTTCAATGTCATTCCGCAACCGTTTATCATTTACGAACGAATAAAAACAACGTCAATATTTTACATGTCACAGTTAGCTGGCAGTACGGCCCACCTAATAAATTGTGCATCGCGCCGATCTAGCAAAAAACATTATTTGATGCGCTGATCAGTCTTCTAAGACTAATAATATAAAACATTGTTTCTTTTGTCTGTAATTGCCTGTACTGCGTGAGAATTACAAAATAATTACAGCACATTTACAAAATAAGAATAATGAAAAAGTAAACGTGTTTTCCCGGTTATAATTCATAATTATTTTTAGAATAACGCTTTATTGTTAATGCAATCATAGTGGTCAGCTTGTGACATGGCTATGACGCCTTTTTCTTACATGGTTATGACATGGTTATGACATGGTTATGACATGGTTATGACATGGTTATGACATGGTTATGACATGGTTATGACATGGTTATGACATGGTTATGACATGGTTATGATATGGTTATGACATGGTTATGACATGGTTATGACATGGTTATGACATGGTTATGACATGGTTATGACATGGTTATGACATGGTTATGACATGGTTATGACATGGTTATGACATGGTTATGACATGGTTATGACATGGTTATGACATGGTTATGACATGGTTATGACATGGTTATGACATGGTTACAACCAAAACTCCTTCAGACCAATTTTGAACCATTATGAGCACTTTCAGGATACAATTCATTTCCGTTCATTTCTGTTCATTCTATGAACCTGGGTCATTTGGTGCGACTTTCGATGACCTCTAGGCCTAGCTTATGACACTATCTATCATAGAAAACCGAATTGGGAGTTCCCAGCCCTTACGTAATAAGTCTCAAATTTAAATGACACACATGCGCCACCTATTGATTTACATGATAAACCTGCTAGCGCATGTGTGTCAAAAACAAAAGTGACAGACATGCGCTAGCAGGTTTATCATGTAAATCAATAGGTGGCGCATGTGTGTCATTTAAATTTAAGACTTATTACGTAAGGGCTGGGAACCCCCAATTCGGTTTTCTATGATAGATAGTGTCATAAGCTAGGCCTAGAGGTCATCGAAAGTCGCACAAAATGACCCGAGTTCATAGAATGAACGGAAATGAACGGAAATGAACGGAAATGAATTGTATCCCAAAATTGCTCATAATGGTTCAAAATTGGTTATGACATGGTTATGACATGGTTATGACATGGTTATGACATGGTTATGACATGGTTACCACCAAAACTCCTTCAGACCAATTTTGAACCATTATGAGCACTTTCAGGATACAATTCATTTCCGTTCATTCTATGAACCTGGGTCATTTTGTGAGACTTTCGATGACCTTTAGGCCTAGCTTATGACACTATCTATCATAGAAAACCGAATTGGGGGTTCCCAGCCCTTACGTAATAAGTCTCAAATTGAAATGACACACATACGCCACCTATTGATTTACATGATAAACCTGCTAGCGCATGTCTGTCACTTTTGTTTTTGACACACATGCGCTAGCAGGTTTATAATGTAAATCAATAGGTGGCGCATGTGTGTCATTTAAATTTGAGACTTATTACTTAAGGGCTGGGAACTCCCAATTCGGTTTTCTATGATAGATAGTGTCATAAGCTAGGCCTAGAGGTCATCGAAAGTCGCACAAAATGACCCAGGTTCATAGAATGAACGGAAATGAACGGAAATGAACGGAAATGAACGGAAATGAATTGTATCCCAAAATTGCTCATAATGGTTCAAAATTGGTTATGACATGGTTATGACATGGTTATGACTCGGTTA